TTGGCGTACGACTGCACGAGATCCAGGGGCTCGCCGGTCTCGCGCAGCACCAGCTCGGCGATCTCGCACAGCACGTCGACCGGGTAGCCCGAGATGCCGACGTAGCGGATGGTGCCCTCGGTGTCGCGGATGCGGCGCAGCTCGCGCACCGCCTCCAGCGCCTCGGCGCGCGACACGAACTCGACGTCGTGGCAGTACACCGCGTCGAGGTAGTCGGTGTGCAGCCGCCGCAGACTCCGGCGGATGCTGCGGCGGATCCACCGCGGCGAGTAGTCGAACGACGAGGAGGCGATCCGGCCCACCTTGGTGAGGATCTGGTAGCTGTGGCGCGGGAATGCGGCGCGGACGGCCTCGCTGGCCAGCGCCCGCCCGAGGAGCTCCTCGGCCGGGCCGTAGTATGGCGACGTGTCGAAGGCGCGCACGCCGTTGGTGAGAGCGCGATGGACCAGCTCGGTGGTCGGGAGTGCGTACGGGTCGTGGTTATATTGGGAGTTGAATGTCGCCGTGCCCATGATCAGGGGCGGCAGATGCGTCGAGAGGGGTGTCGAAGGGCGACCCATTGCTTCTTCGTTCCTTTCGTTCCTTCGTGTCTGTCTTATCCTCTAATGGTAGAGATTGGTGAGAAAGTTGGAGGAAAGAAAAGGAAGTGCAGTGTCAAAACTCTGGGAATTTATATAGCCTGAAATAACCAAGTGAGGGGAAGATGGAAAAATACGTTGCGGAGATAAGAAGGCGCCGACGCGGGGACGGGAGGGAGGGGGCAGGCAAACATTTCCGACACAACCCACAACCCCGGAGAATTGTCCCTGATCTCATGGGTCGTACATACTTAATACACCTCCTGGGGGTTACTGAGAGTAGGTAAATCGCACTAAAGACTACAGTAAAGCCGTGAGGTCTATGTTTCTTGCAACGTTGCTGGACTGAGAGACAGGAACAAAGCATGGATCTTATTTATACATATGCACGTTGTGGATGGTCGAATTACAGCCACATAAGCCATCGCCTTTCAGCGCTCGAAGTACAGGAGGGGAGAATCAACAAAAGAGGAACAAAAAGCATACGAGGCGAGCAAGGACCACTCTGACCCTGTCGGCTTGAAGTCCCACCTCTTCAAATAATGTACACAACAAATATCGTTTCGGACCCGATGCATCGAGAGGTAACAGTTGTCCGTCTGAAAGGTTTGGCTTCAGTAACAGCAGTACCCTTCTGTCACTCAAGTGCTGGGTCCGACACGGGTGGGCGCGACACGTCAACGAAATCGAGGGAATCTAGAACAAGTCTTCCAATCCAAAAAAAAACCTTGGATTCACCAAAAACGCCATGCTATGCTGCGAAGAAAAAACAGACACCTCGGAAGCGGAGAGAGGAGTCGGAGTAGGTCTGCAAAGTCTCAAGACCGCTCAGTTGAGGACGATTGGCATGATCAAGCCTTCTTTTACTGGCCTCGGAACCGATCGAACGCGTGGGGCGGAGGGAACCGGGAGGAGAGAGGGCTGATTCGAGATGTTGAAGCTTCCCATTGTAGTAGCTTTAAGCTTTTCACCGATCCTTATACACCTTGGGCTTCCAGCCCTCCTGCAGTTCCTTCTCCTGGGCGGCATGGCGCTCTGCTTGTCGGACCTCCATCTCTAACCGCTCACGGGCACGAAGAATCTTGCTCTGGAGGTAAAAGCTTCCGCCCTTCTGAGGATCGTTCATGTCGAACAATTTCTTGAAGCGCTCCATCACCTGCTCCAGGTTGGCCTCACCACCCTGTGGGGGTTTGACATTGAGGATCTTGCAGGCTTCGTCGAGGGTCAACCCAGGAGTGGCCCCGCCGCCCACTTTCTTGCCTGTCTGGGCAGCGTACTTGGAGGAGGCCTGAGCTTGCTTGTAGGCTTCGGCGAAGGCGCGACCGAAGACGCGGGCGCCCGTAACGACAACTTGGGTGACGATGCGATGGGCCTAGAAGATAGCGAAGAGCGGGAAATGTCAGTCTGGAAACAGAATAATATCAGGAGAGCAAGGGGAAAACAAAACTTGGCCGACCACGTACCATGATGCGTAGTGATAAAAGCCGATCTAGTGGAGGGAGCACTCGTGGGGGGGATTGAGGTGAGAATTCGTTGTCTGGTCTGGCTGAAGGGGAGTTTGAGCCAGGTTTGGATGGCAATGGAAACAGACAGAGAGGGAAAATTTCGGCGGTTGGTTTTAGTCCGAACCGGGGAAGTGCTGGAAGTGCTGGTGACGTCTGGTATGTTACAGTACAATACGGCTCATAGTTACAGTGATACAGTACCCCGTACAATCGCTCGGTCAGAAGTCCCTGTCACATGTTCCCGACCAGACAACCAACATATGGACTACGACTTCGCATTATTTGGAAAAAGGCTTCAATTCGAACTTCTTCTTGTGTGCTTTCCCCGCAATTTGAAGAATGATGGATCGGCTTTCCACTTACTGAATACTAATTCTACCTACCGCCCCTGCTGGAGCTTCTCGCCTGTCCCTTCTCTTCTCCTATTTCTTCTCCCCCCCCCACCCGCCTCCTTCCTCTTCCTCTTCTACTTCGCCGTACTTGCTCGTCCTTGCGACCTCCTCACTTTCTTCTCCGCTCACCGCCCGCAATGCCCTTGGCGAATGCATATGACGTCTCTGTTGTTGGATGGCAGCACTCGGTATGTAAGACATTCAACGCATCCTCAACGCTCCTCAAAGAGTCCTCGTTATATCCCTCTCGTGTCGGCCGTTCACCAAATACTGATATGCTGGGATAGAAGAACTTCCGTGGATAGATTCCATGGCCCCGTCATCTTCTTCTGCGCAGGACCATGCTGACTCTCAGCCTCCGACGGTCGCTGCTTTCTCTCCTACTACCATCTCCGGCTCATCATTAACCTCGAGACAACGCTCAAGTATAATTGTACACCGCAAGTCCCCTCTTTTAGTCGCCACTCCGCCTCAGATAACCCGCGCTTTGGCTTATTCGCACCCCTTTATTCTACCCTTAAATAAGCTCGTGGGCTTGCTCACATGGACAACTGGGGACGGATGGCAGAGCTTCTTACTTGTGGCCGTGTTTTGGACCCTGGTCCTCTATGGCGAGGTCATCATCTTGTGGACAGGGCCACTCTTGCTGGTGGTCGGACTCATTCTGGGCATGTACTGGAGACGATACTCGCCCTTGTCCTCTAGGGCTCACATTGCTGAGAAACAGAGCCATCAAAGAGCCATATCTGACAGCTCTCCTCATGGCAACGAGACCCTAGATGAGATTGTCGAAACTCTGAGGACATTCACAACTCGGTGCAACATACTGCTGGAACCCCTCGTGGAGCTGACCGAATTCTTATCAACGCAAAGGACGGCTACATCTGCCACCACCCGGCCAGCTCTTACTACTCTCTTCTTCCGGATCTTATTTGTGACGCCTCTCTGGATTGCTTTAACCCTCCCGCCATTGTATTTGATCACCACTCGTCGTGTAGTCATGATTTTTGGCACTATTCTCATCACCTATCACTCCCGACCGGCAAGGGTCTGTCGAGTCATTTTATGGCGTTCATTGACCATCCGCAAAATCTGTTCCATGATTACTGGACTGTCTTTCTCGTCGGATGTGGAAAAGACATTATCGGCCGGAATGCAAAGTCACGGGCATGCGGTGAACATCGCCACGAGACGCCGCGGGGATTCCTCCGGCGTCCGATTCACATTCATCATCTATGAGAACCAGCGTCGCTGGCTGGGCATTGGGTGGACTTACTCTCTCTTCCCCTCCGAGCGTGCTGCTTGGACCGACGAGCATCTGAATCCGGTACCTGCAAAGGACGAATTTGAGCTGCCTGGCGTTCAAAGTGGGAATGCACAGTGGCGGTGGGTAGATGGCAGCGAGTGGCATATCGAAGGGGCCGATGACCAAAATGGACACTCCGATGCCAAGTCCTCTGACGGCGGGGGGTGGATCTACTACGACAACAAGGCAAGTTTGGTTCCTTGGACTCGATTCCAACCCAGGCAGTCTAGCTAATTTTCTGCAGTGGAATGAGGGTCGCCGTGGCCAGGACGGCTGGGACCGATACACCCGTCGTCGGAAATGGTGTCGCGACGCTGAACTCGTTGAAGTGCCTTCTGCAGCAGCCGAGGGCACATCTACAGCAGTGACATCCGGTCTGTCCCAAGCTTTGGAGGCAGAGAAACAGAAAAAGAAACCAACCGGCACCGTGGATGCGCATCCGGCGGATAGTAGCGGTGGATGCGATACCGATAGCCTGGCCCCCTCGACCTCCTCCAAGTCACGGAGACGCCAATGGTTCGGGAGCACGAAGAGTGTAAGCGACATCAAGAACAGCAGCTTCTCCTCTGCTCCACCAACCTCCACCAACAACTCCTCCGTTGATCTTGGAAGAATAACGTCTGCCAATAGTACCAATCCACCACCATCCGGGAGAGCCCCTTCCAGGCCGATTAACATCTCCCACTCTCGAAAACTGTCCAACTATTCCGGCACCGCCAGTTACAGCAGCAGCCAGGGACCAGACGGTAGCCTCCGAGAAAAGGAAATCACTCGAGCGCAGGATCAGCTGGATCGATGGGCTGCCCGAGCGGCAGGAGGAACCGAACGGGCAGAGCGAGAATTGGGGCTAGGCGACGAGGTGAATATGGGATTGAGCTGATCTCACTTTACAAATCCGTTACGAAGCATCGTGCACAGACCTTTCAGATTGACCATTGAGTGAAGCATCTGGCTTTTTATGACGCCCATTAGTTGAGTTTGGGCCTCTTTGGCGCTTCGACCATCTTTGTCCTGTACTTACGCCACGACGACATGAAGATACCCTTACAATTCTAGCCAAATATAACAATCGTGCTGGTGATTCAAACTTTGGCGTCGTCGCCCATCATCATTCTATCACCTGGCTAAAAGATAATCGTATATGCCTTGGACTCATAAAATTGTTCATTATGGGCATACCTCTCCGCCTCCGGAGGTCCATACCCTCTCTAATCCCATATCAAGCGAGTATGAGATCCCACTGTAATTGATCCAGCAAGTCCAGCCAATGCACTCCTTCCATAGCCCATAGAGCTTGTAGCATCTCCTTCGCTCGTTTAACATTCCCAATCCCGAAGTTGACCTCAAGGCTACTCAAGCATGTCATGATAAGCTCTTTATCATCGGGTACCCTGATCTCGCAGCCCGCGATGAGCAAAGGAAATGTGAGCGCCGAATATTCGCAGTGGGCATCGAGGGGTGAGGCCGTTCGGATCCTGTCCAGAAGCATCTGCAGGGCATCCGACCTCGTCATAGTGATCAAAGCTGACCAAGGGCCTGCAGTGAAGATGGTTTTCATACCCTTGCTCATCTTCTCCAGTATTGAATGGAGGTAGATGTATGCCGCATCGCGGAAACAATTTGCGACCATGCGGAGGCGACAGAGGTTCATTTCTGTGATGCCCTCGGGAATGATGTACCTTATGTCCTGATGCGTCCAATCATGCAGTAGGGTATCACTGGGGGTATGTATCAGCTATATATGCACGTCTGTGGGGTCGAAAGTATGACGGGTGGGGAGAGGCTATAGAGAAGTAGGCGGCTCACATTGCATGAATCTCGATTCCCAAAGCTACAGGGTCATGGCTCAGGGAAGGTAGATCAGCGATCCTCGCGCAGAGTTTGACAAGATCTTCCGCGTAGCCAATGTATATATCGAGCTTGGTGATCCTGACGTCCTCCATATCAAGCATGCTGGAGGTGATTTGCTTGCGATTGCTGATTTTAGCAACGTTATGAGCATAAATGTAGCTATTCTTTTTTGTCAGTATGGCCTTTTTCTCCATGAGACTGACGACATACAAGCCCATCAGGAACTCTCGGGTATCATGATTCAAAGCCCCAAACCCACCCCGTGCAATGACTAGCTTCTGAAGAGCATTCAGATGCGCGACCCACTGCTTAACGCTTCCACGGACAATCTCGTATTTGCAGAGTAAAGCCACCGCGAGAATAGCTTCATCAGGAAATCTTCCAGTGGGATACTCTGAGAGCACAGATTGCAGCCCATTCAGGGTTTGAATGTAATACATTGTAGCAGCAGTTTGGGCTTCTGAATGGGCAGCTATTCGATTCGCACAATGCGTCGCTGATACTGCGCATAAGGCTTTCATAAGGAGCGAAGATGATAGGGCCCGAGGAATGATCAGAGACCGCAAAGGGTTGTCGGCGCTCTCAAGGTTTGCGAGTAACTTGGAGCCGAGCTCCATGTGGTATTGAAGATAGTGCGTTTCTGAGTGCGAAAGATGACTGAGGGATTTACAGGGTGTGAGTGTCATTATAGAGAGGCCACCATTCTCGGCAGTGGTATGTGCTGGCATCTGGTCAACCTCATCCATAGTGTCATCGACGTTCGATAAACACGTATCGCTATCACCGGAATCTGAGAATGTGGTAGGGGTAGTTGGTTGGTAATGTAGCCATAAGGAGCTTGAGCATGGGGAGCTCGCACTTGCTCGTCCCAAGGAGGATGAGGAAATGGAAGACGATGTGCTAAGTCTCCTGCGCTTTGTTGGTTTTGTTTGACTGAAGACCTGTGCTGACGGGTTCAAGGGCTCTGCCCATATTGAGCCATATCCCTCACACTGTAGCCCTAATCTAGCACAGCTACGACATCTGATAAACGAGTTCAGTCAGTGACAAGGAAGGTAATCGACCACTAGACATACCCAGGCTTAGATTCGTCACATCTTTTCCGGCGACGTTTACATGTCAGACAGCCAGTGCGTGTCCATTTCCCGCCCTCTCTCCTGCATCTCCTCTTACTAACGACCTGAAATTGTGCCTCCATTGGGTTTGCAGCCGCGTGAGGTAGTGGTCGGTCTCCAGTCATAGTGTCGTCCCACATTATGAGGCTAGCATGGGCGAAAACCCGAGGACCGATAGGAATGAAACGCTGAGCTTTGGCGGTGTACTGAGTAAATGAATGTTGTACAAGTTCTATGTCAGAACTGGTCCGATTGATTTAGCAGGGAGAGAATCCCCACAAGCACGTATCAAATACTCGTATGGACTCGCTCTTTGAGGCACAAGATCTAACCAATGCAGGTAGCATCGAGGCTAGTATCTTCAGATTCAGATACTGATCGAAAGTGGCGAGGGGGTGACAGTGAGCAAGAGTAGTGAGTTGAGTTAGTTATGGATTGATGACACGGCGGAGATGGATTTCCTTGATGGCACTAAACTGGAAAGGGTAAGTGATGCGCCCACGTTATCGCCTGGGCTTTCCCCTCTTGGGATTGCCAAGGGAGACCCGTGACTACTGGGTGGACAGTACAGTACAGAAGGTACCTAGTACTGCGTAAGTACAGCGGAGTACAGCCTGCTCAGGGAGAATTGACGCTACTCATCACCAGACGAAGATAGTGGCGTCGGCTCTTTTGATTTCCCGTAGTAACGTTAGTACGGAGTATACTGGTTGTAGACTGGGTGTAGTTACGTAGTCAGTAAGTAGACTGATAAGAGCGCCAGATAAAGGAAAGAGTGGGACGAACATTTCTTATCGCCTCTGGAAATTCTCGCACCCCTCGGGCTCCGAAGAGCATCATGCCAGGTACGAGAAACCATACCGTGTGACTAATGAAATTGCCGTGTATGATGATGATGATGCTCATCCTCGCAGTCTATGAGTAGCTGGAATAGCCGCGGTGGGGAGAGCGAAAGAGAAGCAAGAAGAGCGATTGAAGGATGATGTTTCATCGGCGAGATGAACGCTTCCCCCCACTTCCCCCCACTACCCCCAGCCTACTTTCCGCTTTAGGCAAGTCCATCCAGACTCTCCCATGGTCAATAATCTTCAATCTCCTTAATGTGGAAGCTCTGGATCAACTCAACGCTACTACAACTATTGCTGCTGCTGCTTGCGAAATGTGGAAAAAGAACCTTTGGAACTACTTAAAGGCCCTTCAATATCCTCCTCCTCCCTCCCTCAATGGTCAAACCAGTACTTTTCTTCTGGTTCCTTAATACAACCCCAAGATGTCTCTCGCAACTGAACCTAGCCCTCGATTGAGTGCATCGAGTGGCCCTCATCCCTTCGATCCAGTCACTCCTCGAGAAATCAGACTAGCGGTTCGAGTTTTGGAAAATGCTTTCGCTGGTGTCAAGCTTCGCTACAATCGGATCGATGTTCACGAACCCATCAAGCATGAGGTTGTCCCATACATTGAAGCCGAACGTCTAGGACAGCCCCTACCGCGCAAGCCCACCCGCCTCCTATACTCATACTTTCATCGCCTCGATACTCTTCAATGTTGCAAGGCGCTCATCAATGCTGACACCGCGTCAATTGTCTCGACTAAAGTGCTCCCCAAGACCGTTCAGGTATGCGCATCATCATTTACGATAATCTTTGTATTGAGCACTGACATTGATGTGCATACAGCCTCCCGTCGATATCGATGAACTTGCTGTGATTGAAGAAGTCTGCATGAAGCACCCGGCTGTGCAGGCAGAGATCGCGAAGCTTAAATTGCCCCCGGGAATGGCTGTGTGCAATGATCCATGGATGTACGGCACTGAGAACCAGACTGAGACACGTCGGATGTTCCAATGCTTCATGTACATGATGGAAGTCGACCACCCTCAAAATAACCACTACTCCCTGCCATGCAAGTTCTCTCCCGTCTTCGACGCCTTTACCCACGAATTGATCCGCATGGACTATCTACCAGGAGGCGATGATCATTCATTCACTGAGACGCAGCCTTGGAAGCCTGTCAAGGCTGTGCAATATGCTCACGATCTCCTTGATGAGCCTGTTCGCACGGATCTCAGACCTTACATTGTCCAGCAACCAGAAGGTCCCTCTTTCAACGTGGACGGCAACTTTGTTTACTGGCAAAAGTGGCGTTTCAGGGTCGGCTTCAACAACCGGGAGGGTATGGTTCTGTACAATGTCACATATGACAATCGCAGTGTTTTCTACCGTCTCTCGGTCTCGGAGATGACGGTGCCCTATGGAGGTGGGATTTAACCCCAACGTACCTGTTCAAAATTATCGCTAATCTGATCCGCATAGACCCTCGCGCCCCTTATCACCGCAAGCAGGCCTTCGATGTTGGCGATGTTGGTTTCGGTCTCAACGCCAATCAGCTCTCGCTCGGCTGCGACTGCTTGGGCCACATCAAATACTTTGATGGCTACCGAGCCGACTCCAAGGGCAACCCAGTCCTGTTAAAGAACATTATCTGCATGCACGAACAGGACAACGGTATTCAACATAAGCACACCAACTACAGAACTAATGCGGCAACGGTTGTCCGCAATCGTCAGCTTGTTATGCAGATGATCTGCACTGTTGCTAACTATGAATACATCTTCGCCTACATATTCGATCAGGCGGCCAACATCGAACTTGAAGTCCGTGCTACAGGCATTCTGTCTACGGTACCGTTTGATAACGAAGACGGCAAGACTGTTAGATGGGGTACAAATGTTGGCCCCGGTGTTATGGCTCCCTACCATCAACATATGTTCTCGTTCCGGGTTGATCCCGCCCTCGACGGCTTCAAGAATACCGTCTTCTATGAGGACAGTGTCCCCTTACCCGAGGATGACCAGAACCCCTATTTTGTGGGATACACTACTCAGCAAACTGTCATCAGCAAGTCCAGCGCCGCAGATCTTGATATCAGCCGAAGCCGAGTTTTCAAAATTCGCAATGACAGCAGCATCAACCCTATCACTTACAAGCCCGTGGCATACAAGCTCCACGCCGCACCCAGCCAAATGCTGATCCAAAGCAAGAACTCGATCGGACATCAACGGGCTGAATTCGCTACACGGCCCATCTGGGTCACAAAGTACCGGGACGAGGAGCTTTACGCGGCAGGCGAGTTCACGAACCAAAGCCACCGCGCAGACGGCGTAGAGGCATGGGTCAAGAGAAACGATCCAACCGAGGATGAGGACGTGGTTCTCTGGCATAGTAAGTTCCCCCTCCCATGTGTATCGCACCACCTTGAGAAAGTACTGTACAATGGACTAACATGCCATCCTTCCGTAGCATTCGGACTGACCCACAACCCCCGCATTGAGGACTTCCCCGTCATGCCCATGGAACGTATCAGCGTCATGCTGCGTCCCGACGGCTTCTTCACCAAGAACCCCGCCGTCGATGTGCCGCAGTCATCTCAGGCCTTCAACAAGTCAACTCTTCACCCGGAAGCAGCGGCCGCGGCGTCTTGCTGCTCGGGTGCGGGAGGCAGCAAGGCGAAGCTGTATAAACGACTAGACTGAGAAACGCCCGCGAGCATGGAGGATGGCCCTTTTGATCTAGACTTTCGCCTTCATTGGCGAAAGCATTGTATGATTCATGACTACACATACCGCCATCTGGCGTTTCGAGCAATGTAAATAAGAATTTCGTTTCCCGAATGTTACAACTAAGCCTTCGACGCTTACAGATTTGAAGAAGTCAATATCCGTCTTACAACCACAGTCGCATTCATTTGTGTCTCATTAATACATGCTGTTCTGACTTGAATCACACAGACTCTGTCTGAGCCAGACTGGTTATATAAATCAGAATCATTGTACGTAACTAAGTTCGTCATTTCTGTGAACCCCGCCCACACATTCGTGTTTCATAAACAGAACCCTTATCAATCTCCAAACCATTTTCATTTCTTCACCTCATTATTCCTTAGGTCTCCACCTTGAAGAAAATCCATGCGACCATATCCATTTTCGCCAGGTCATTCAAACTCTGCGTCTTCAACAACCAGAAAACAGGAAATATGTCAAGTCGAGGCACCAGAAGGGCCTACAGCATAAGTGTTGGAGTACCCCTTCAAGCCTTCTTAGGCACGTGAGCGCTGGGGACAACACCGTGGCCAACATTGTCGATAGCGGACTGGCGGGCGCCGGTGAGACCGAACTGACGATTAATGCCCTCGACACGGTGAGTGGAGTTGATGTTCTTGACAAGAGTAAGCTGCCAGCAGGTAGCTCCACCCTGGCGAGAGGTGATGGTAGAGTAAGCCAAGAAGTACTCCCAGATCTGCAAACGCTGGTCAGTCATGTGCGGTGGTGATCATTGAGGAGAGTCACGAACCTTGAACCATCTCTTTCCGTACTTGGCCTCGACCTTGTCACGGTTACCCATCCAGTTCCGGTACCAGCGCCAAAGGGTGGCAGAGTAGTGGACGCCAATGGTGTCGACAGCCTTGATCTCAAATCCGGCAGCCTCCAGTCGATCAACGACAAAACCAAGGGGGGTGCTAGCGTCGGCTCCGGGGAAGATGTACTTGTTCATGAAAAGACCCCAGATCAGATCCTCATACTGCCAGGACTTACGCAGACCAGCAATCTGAAGGAAGAAGACACCGTCATCATCCAACATTTCGTAGACCTGAGACAAGAAAGTAGTGAAGTGACGAACGCCGACATGCTCAGCCATTTCCAAGCAGGTGATCTTCTTGTAACCTCCGTCCACCCGGGGGGCGTCACGGTAATCGAGGCACAGGATACGGCTCTGAGATTCCTCAACACCAGCATTGCGAAGACCCTTGTTACCCCAAGCAGTCTGGTTACGACCGAGGGTGATACCAGTGACCTGAGCGCCATAGTGAACCGAAGCATATTTGGCCAGAGTACCCCAACCGCAACCGAGGTCGAGGACGGTGTCACCGGGTTGAATGCCAATCTTTTCACACACCACAGCCAGCTTGTTGTCCTGAAGCTCCTCAAGAGTCTCCTCACGGTTGATATCGCTGATGATTCCAGAGGTGTAAATCATGCGAGGACCCAGGAACCAAGCATAGAAGTCATCGCCACGATCGTAGTGGT